GCAAGCTCTACAGCTTGACCAGCCTTGGCCGCTTGCTGCGTCTGCGGCTTCGGGTGTCTTAGGGCTCGATCCCACCCCAATTCCCTCCCCGCCCTACACACACACACACACACACACACACACACACACCCCGACGGGAGGGCGAGGCCAGCCTGACTGGGTGGGCTGCTTGGGAAAGGAGAGAAAACTGGGAGACTGGGTCCCTCCCTCGGAGCCGTTCCCGCGAGGCTGGGAGACCATGTGGCAGGCTGGGTGGAAACGGTGGTGGATTTCACGTGAACGCGCGGCTCCTCGGACTCCTGCTCCTTCTGCCAGGACGCCGTCCGCACTCCCGACGGCTACTCAGGGTCTGGGGTTCCCCTTTGGTGACCCCATTCCAACCACTCCAGAGAGCTGGTGAGGAGCGCGGGAAGGGGACTCGGGCGTCTGGCAGGGGGTGGGGGCGGGGCTAGGGAGTGCAGAAGAATTCTCGCAGAGTTCAGCAGGGCAGAGCCAACAGGAAACGTGGAACACGACCTCTAGCTAGTGAAGGTCATTTATGTACAAGCGGAGGGTTTAAGACGTTGGAGGTGGGAGGGGCTGGGGCCCTCGAGGGCGAGGAGGGGGCTGTTGAGCGCCCCCATCTGGGCTGAACTTGAGGGGAGAAAGCTCCACCCACCTTCTGGCATTTCTGAGCTCTTTCCTTAGCGGACCCAGCCCTTCCTCGTCGGACGCTAATCACAGCTGGAGAAGCCCCGAGCTCACAGGTGTGAGCCCTGTGCCTACACTGCCCGTGGGGTGGCTGTCTGTGCGCTTTGCGTCTGTGTACCTTTCCCTCTTCCAACCAACGCTTACTGAGTGTGGTGGAGACACCTGGGTGCGTGTGCCCACCCGCCACAACCTATTCCTGTTTGAGCACGGCGCATACAGAGAGCCCCTAGCTCCTGGCGTTGTAGAGCTGCTTCCACGAGTCGTTTCTGCTGTGTGTGCGCGCGTGTGCGTGCGTGCATGCGCGTGGGTTACGTGTAGATGCACACTTGCTTGCTCACAGACACACTTGCAGGAAAGTAGCAGTAGGGGGTGGAAGGTATCAGTCTCCGCCCCCTACCCCGTAGGAAAAAAGGTGGTCCGAGCGGTGGGGGCTCAGCCACCGCAGGGAAGCGGAGCCCGCTGAGAAAGCAGGAGGGGGGTGTGGCGTCTGGCTGCAGGAGGGGCCTCTGAAATCAGACCTACCTGAAGAAAGGCTTTCAAGCCCCCACCTCTCCTTCCCATCGTCATTCTCCTCACGCTAGATCCACCCCTCCCCCGTCCCCTGCCGCCCTCCCCCCAGCGCTGGGAGATATTTTTAGAAGCTGCTTAGAGACCCAGGACTCTCATTCCAGAACGAGTCTCCACTTCCCCACCCCTCGCCCCGTCTTCAACACCGAGTCCCATCCTCTTGGCGATCTCGAAGGCGCCAGCCATAGCTTCTCATCCGGGCACCAGGGACTTCGGTCAAAGATTCTGACCCTAGATGCTAAAGCAAAATGCAGATTCCCTCGGAGCCTCGCCAGGGTCGTTCCGGAGCCAGCCAGATGGAGACAATTAACTGGGGAGAGCGGCGAAGATTGCCCCAAGAAAGCCCTGGCTGTCCGGTCTCTGGCTCCAAACCCTCTCTCGCCACACACGCCTGCAGGCACCTCAGGGACTCACCAGACCGGGGTCTCTAGAAAGGGGTGGAGAAAAAGGGTAAAATAATCCCGCGGGATAATTCACTTATAATTAGACGAAAACCGGAGAAGCCCCAGCGTATGCAGATGTATGCAAATCAGCCTGATCTCAATAAGAGTTGCTCTAAGGCAAACTGCACTGTACCAGGAGGCTGCAGAACAGACAGCTCAGTGGAGAACTTGGGAGGGTCTTAGAAGCTAACCAAGCTAGCGTCCAGCACGACCTTGAAGAGTTGGGGGGCGTTGGGGGACGTATTCAGCCTAGGGCCGCCAGGTTCGGTGCTACCCAGAAGAGCAGTCAGGTTCCTGGCCGTGGTGCTGAACTCTCTGCCGGCAAGTCAGCTTGAACTTCTACCTGTCCGCGGTGCTCCACTGCAGCGGTCTGGACAGGGCATCTTCAGCGGCACCAGGGACTTCTCTGCTGCCTCGGTCTGATCCTAGGACTAGGGCTTGCTTGTAACTCAGATACAGTAATTGGAGTCTCCAGGGACCAAGCAACGTCATTCGCTGGAGTAAGAGTGGAGAGGCCTGAACTCCACTTGGAAACTCCTGTTTTCAGCCTCTCCCAGATCTCCACTGAGGAGGGCGGAAAGGGTGTTTTCCTCTCCTTCTACCCCACTATCTCCTAGGATGGTGGAGGAAAATCTTTTTTGGGCCGAGAAGTTTAATTCAACCCCCAAATAATGAGGCAGAGTCTTCCAGAAAGCAAACTCCACGTTGTAGCACAACCTCCATCTCCGACTCAGTGCAAATTGCGAATCTAGAGGCTGAAAATCGGACCTCTTGTTGAACAGATGTAGAAAGTAATTTCAGCTTGGCTGAGCAGAGAAGGTCAACTCTTCCAAGGAGAAGACAAAGATTGTACTAGAAAAATCAAAGCCGAACCAAGTTCTTAGGAAAAAGGATGGGGTGGGGAGTGGGGCAGGGGAGGTGGGGACAAAGAGCAGTTGGGAAGGGGCATTAGTGCTTAAATCAGCACCAACAATTTTCCTTTTTCTCTTCCATGATACTTCCATTCCCTAACCCCAAAAAAGAAATAAGCAAACCAGAAATGGATTCAGAGCTAGGACAACAAATTCACAGGCAAAAATAAGCTGTATTATTAACCAAAAATATTTAGTAATTTTTTTATAAAGGAAATGTGAAATATTTTATTTAATACCCTTAAAATTCAGCAGTGAGCGGCTTTACCATCATCAAAGGAAACTACTCGGCGATCACTATCCTCTCGCCTCCTCTTCCTGTGGATAAAGACACTTTGGGGTTATATAATTACAGCATATGATTTACAAATGTGACCCAACACTGTGCCTAGTACATCATTTTGGTATGTACTAGGGTGAGTCAAAAGAGTGTATGGAAAATGGAGCGAAAAGATAATGAGATTTTCCATGAACTTGTTGAAGCCCTTTATATTAATTACTGTTCAGGTCTATGGTTAATCAAGGTGGAAAAAAAAGAAGGAAAAATGAAAGAAAGGATAAAGGAAGGTTAAATGGTGAGATAGGAAGAGAGGGAGAGGAAGAAAAGGAGACAGTCACAGAGGAAAAGACAGAGGGAGGGATAAGGAAATAGACAGCTCCTGGAGATGAATGTGGTTAGGAAGCACAAGAGTTGGAAGAAATTGTGCTTGAAGAGACAGGAATGTCATTAGGGCAGGCTGGCTGGCCAGCTGCCAACTGGCCTCAGCGGTGACATTTACCTTGGTGAATTTATCATGGTCCAAGCTCATAAACTTGACTTTACCAGCACTAAAGGTGAGCCTACATATTGGGGGTTGGGAAGAGGATCATATTAACTCAGCTTCAATCCTGATATCTCAGTCAAAGAATGTGTGTATTTACTTATGATATGAAAAGACATAGCCCTGGGGAGCCGAACGCTAACATTGCCATACCCCAGACATCCTTCCCCTGTGGGGAAATGTGCACAGGACACGAGTGTATGCTGTGAAGGTTGTTTTGAGAATGCGAGGGGAGGGAATTGGGTGGCTTTAATATTTTATAGCACCAGACTCTGATAGCCTTCTGCCTCCAAGTCTCCAATCGGGATAAACCGACCCCTGGCAGCTCAGTGATTATGCGAGGGCCCAAGGCTATGCCTGGGATCCGTCAACAGATGCTTCTGTGGCTCTGGTTTACTGTTAGGTCTCTGGTTTTGTTTTTACAGTTCCATTTCTGAGCATCTCTTTGTTAGGTTGGAGCACTCCCTGTAAATCTAAACTACCAATGTCATGCACACTGATAAAAATTTTGTAAGTAAAAAAATGTGTATTTTATAAGTAAAAAGTGAACCTATCGACTCCTCACCCCAAAAGTTCAAATCCGAGAGTAAAATATTTCTAACAGATTGATATGTACCCTTGCAGATATCATCTATGCATATACAAACTCATACACATTTATTTATAGAAAATATATTCATTAATAGGGTAAAAACTGGAGAATACTAGCTCTCCTCTAGTTTTTCTTCCTCTAATTTTTTTCTTTCTGAAAGAACCCCAATTTTAGTTGAATACTTACCATCTGTTGTCAATTTGAGGATGAAGAGTGAAGAGGTGGAGTCTAGCCTGTCAATCAGGTCATAGCTTGATGACCTCATTTGGAGGCGCTACAGAGACAAATAGCTTGCTGGAGGTAGGACACAAGCTCACTCCCTGCGAGACATTCCTGTTGAGAAGACACCTGGAGCTACACTAGAGCCCTGGAGCTGGAGGAGC